TGTAGTGAGATTTTAATGTAAGAAAATGAAGAATAGATGTTTTTCTTTAGAAATCTAATGAAGTTGTTAATGTTATTTTTTCTTTTTTTCTTTTAAGAAAATTAATGCTATTTTTCTATTAGTTCATTTTTTTCTATTAAATGTATGAAGAGAGAGGGGGTTATGCACTTATGTGGGACCCAATGCCATAATTGAAGCTAGAGGTGTAAAGTGGGCCATGATGGGCTGGCCCGTGGGCCGTCATAGGCCGTGCCGCCCTCCTCGATGAAAATCTGGGGGTCGGCCCAGCATGGCCCACGGCCCAGGCTCGTGCTGTGCCGCGGGCTTGGGCCAAGCCGGGCTAGGCCATAGGGCGGGCCTTGGGCCTGGGCCGAACCGGACTAGACTGAATGGATTACGATTACCCAAAAAATAAATAAATAAAACAATTCAAATAGGAATTTTATTTCATTTAAATTTGAATGATACAAATTACAAAGCATACAAATATTGAAATATATAGAGGTGTAAATCGGGTCGTGCTGCCCACGGCCCGACACGACAGTCCATGGGCCGTGTTAGGCACGACACAATCATGTAGGCTGTGCTGGGCCTAGGGTTTTAGGTCCACGGGCCGGCACGGCACGGCAGGATCGAGCGGGTCGTACCACCCGCGACTCGCGAGCTAGTACAACCCATATATATATATTTTATATATTTTATATATTTTATATAATATTATATAAATTATAATTATATAATAATTTATTAATAAAATAAATACTTTTTTAATTTTACTATACTAATTTATTTAATTATTGTATATATAAGCAATTATATACACAAAATTCATATAAAATTAAAATTTTAAGTTTTTTATCATTTTTTTAAATAAATAGCTTTGGCCCAATGCACAGCCTGACTTGGCCCAAGGCTCAGCCCGGCCCGCAGAACGACATGGGCCTGGGCCGTGGGCCATGCCGAGCTGACCCCCAAAATTTTCACGAGGGAGGGCGGCACGGCCCGCACTTTGTGCAGGCCACCCACAGGCTATGTCGTGTTGGCCTGACACGACCCACTTTACACCTATAGAAATATACAATGGTTGGATACTTCATACTTGGATGAATGAAATATGAAATGGATAGGAACTGAAATTAATTTAATTGACCAAAATACCCTAAAAACTAACTATTTTTTAGTTGTTGGGAGGGTATTTTGGTTATTGTAAAGTTATTTATAACTTTACCCAAAAAGCCCCCCCCTAAACTAGTTGTTATATAGTTGTTGGGGGGCATTTGTGTCACTTTTCTCCCCTCCATAAGCAAAATACATAAATACCCCCTGTATAGCTGTTAGGGGGGTATTTATGTAAAAAGCACCCAAAAATCTGAAACTAGCCGTTGGGGGGACTTTGGGGGGGCAATGGCTAGTTTTTAGACGGGTCGAGTGCGGCCCATTACGAGCCTTGCAGGGCACTGCGGGCCATGCCATGCCGGCCCGTGGACTATGAACCACCGGCCTAGCACGACACGATCTGATTGAAGCTTTAGGGAGGAGAGGGAGAGGGGAGAGACTAGGAGAGAGGGGTTTGTGTGGGACACAGTGTAGCTTAGAGAGAGAAAGAGTTTGTGTAAGACTACTATCATAAGTTGGGGGTGGAGAGGGAGAAAGGGGGTTTTGTGGGACCTAGTAGGGTCAGATGTTAGGGGGGGAGAGAGAGGCATTATGAGGGTTTTATCTTTAAAAGTATTCCATTTCTTATTTTAACGGAAAAAATCTTCTATATAAAAAGACAAATAAAAGCTAACAATGAACCATGTCGATATACAATTTTGCCACACTATTTTCTAAGGACTTGTTCATTTTTTTTTGCGAAATGGGGGAGGGTAAGTTGGTGGGTTCCAGAAAAATGAATAAACCTACCTTTATATTTCAGTACTAGTGAGCCTTACGGAAAATAACTATTCTCGAGTGGCTCATTTACCTAGGCAAGTAATACGCTCTTGAAACTTATCACTTTTTTTGTTTTTATTTTGGATAAAACTATCATTGTACAACTTAGGCTGTATTTGGAAATGATGCAAGTGGAGTATAAATCCTGGTTCAGAGTAAATTTGTACTTTGGTTCACTTTTGCCTATGTTTGGCAACATTATATTTATGCATTGACAAATGACTGACCAATGCATATTTACATTGATAATAAGATGTAAGAGTATATCAATAAAAAAGAAGTAAATTTGCATTCAAGTGGGCATTTGATAAAAAAAAAACGCATATGCTTTATTGGAATTCATGTGTTGCATCCATTACAGCTAAAAGTCTGTTTGGTAAGAAGGTAAATTTGTCGGTGCAAAACTAACATAATTTTGCAATTTATCTAAACCGTTTTACACTCTACATATTTGCACCGTTTCCAAATGCATCCTTAGGGAAATACTTACTCAAATAAGTGCATTTACCTAGGTAAATGGCTTGTTGAGATGGGAAAGAGTCCTAAAATTACAGTCCAATCGCAACAATAATTAGAACAAACATATATGACTACTTCATATTTTCAATAAGTTGCCCCTTCTTCCCAATTGCCAGTTTTATATAAATATGGTTTGTATCATATATATACTAAAAGCAAAATAGGTATGGATGGAGTGCCCATTTTGCTTAAAATGGAATCCTAGAGTGTAAAGTTTATATGGGCTTATGTGAAATATTTTGCTATTTTGGCACAATTGCTTGTTGTGGTGTTCATGAACTTTTGCTAATTACAAGAATACCATTATTTGTCTCATTAAATTTTTTACTAATTACAAGAATGCCATTGAAAGCAATCATTGCCTTTTTTATATTTATACATATGACATTGAGTTTTTATATAATTAGAAGAATGCCATTATTTCTCACTTTGAATTTTTACTAATTACAAGAGTGCCATTGAAAGCAATCATTGTCTCTCTTTTAGTTGTGGATACGATATTGAGTTTTCATGTAATTACAAGAGTATCATCAACGTGTAATTACAATATTGTCACAAAATTGTTTTTACTCTCTTTACTTTTCATTTATCATCCCTTCTCTCTCTAGGGTTGTCAATGGGTCGGGTTGGACCTGATGGACTTGAAATGATTGGATAAATTTGGTTATGATTCCTGATATATTGTCCAGATTCTTATCGAGTCAGAGCCAGTTCCACCTAGTCACAAATTGATTTAGACCTGACCCAAGCTATATATATGTATATTTTAATATGTATATATATATATACATATTATTTTAATATGTACATATTAAATGTATAATATATTAAATAAATTAAATATTATATATATTATTTTCAATAGGTTTATTATAATTAGGTCCATTAGGTTAGACTTTATTGACCTGAGAACTAATCGGTTTGGTTATGGGTCTAAAATTATAAACCCTGTCGGGTCTAGTTTAGGTTTGGGGAGTTTGGCTTCAATGAGTGCAAAGTCCTTTTAAACATCATTTACAACCTTGCATTAGGAATATCTCCGTACTTCTGTGCTTTATTTCATGGGAAGATATTCCCAATGTAAGGTTGCAAGAGGTTGTTTGAACGATGTAAGCACGGGCTTGCACTGACTAAAGCCAATCTTGGTTCCAGGTCCTTAGTAATTTTTGTCGGGTTGTTTTCAGTTCTACTTGGACCCGAACTGTTGACAACCGTATCTCTCTCTACTCCCACTACAATACTACTATTTCTAATTTTTCATTCGTCTTTATTTTCAAATTTTCATTTATCTTCAACCACTCTCTACATGAACTTATATATATATATATTCAATTAATTAATTAATTATTCTAATTATGTTTCATTTAGGTAAGCCCCAAGTTGGGATTGAAGTATTGGATGAACTTTTAATATTATTTACAAGATAATAAATGCTTTTAATATATTTATTAATTAATCAATATAATTAATTAAGCCTTCTAATTATGTTTCATCTAAGCAAGCCCTAAGTTGGGATTGAAGTATTGGAAACCAATCTAGCTTGGAAACTTGCGGGCTTAATGCACACTCAAGCCCAAGGCCATGCTTTAACAAAAACCTAGGTCCAAGCCTTCACTTGGAAGTTTGTGAGCCTAATGTGAGATCGGGTTGGGCTAAAGTATTGGGCCAAAGTTTGGGCTAAAAATTTGTAGGGGCAAGCCCACACCAAGTCTAAACACAAAACTTTGGATTAAACCTATAATTTTGGGGCCAAACCAGGTCTTGTTATCTACATCTCTTTAACGTCTCAATCAAATTCCATGAAACAAAAGCGAGCTAATATTTTAAAACGTTCTCTCTTCTTTCACTTTCTCTCACTCACTCACTCCAAGAACTCAACCACTCCCAACCATCCCTATCTCCCAACCCTTCCAATAATATACACTTGTTAAAATGTCATAGTGCATATCATTTGTTAAGTTACTTAATTTTGCTTAAACGTATTTTTTAAAATTTTATTAATTATTTTAAAGTTATTAATTGTAATTATAAAATTAATTGTTTTAAAATTTGAATAACTAATATAATTTAAGTATTTAATTAGATTAATTAAATTAATAATTAATTAATTTATCATATTTAATCAATTAAATTACACTAAATTAATTTGATTTATTTATCCAAATAACAAACTTTAAATCTGCTTAAATAAATAAAATTACTTATTTAATGTGTTATTGCATTCTTATTACTTATTAGCCCTGCACTAAGGGGCACGCCGCTAGTTATATACAAAGGTCAGGAACGGGATATGCTCTTCACAGTTGGGCGCCTCACATGCACATCCACCGTGCATTGAGACCGTGAAAAACAACATACGTGTGAGGCGCGTTTTATGTGGAGCAGATCCAATCTCCAAAAGTCATACGCCCAAATTTGAAGGGCGGTGAAGCCGAGGTCCACGTGGATTTTTGTTCTTTTGATCCCGCGCCACAGTTGTGGAAGTGATGCCTCAACCCCAAGGCGGGAGTGGTTTAAAAAATTTGCATATACATATCTTTTCCATATCATAGTCGAACCCCTTTTTTTATTCATATTTTCTCTTCGATCCCTAACTCTCTTCCTCTCTCATTTCTCTCACGCTTCAACCATCAACTCCCCTGCCGGTCACTGTCGACTTTCACCACCGGCGGCCCCTCCCTCCCTCTTTCCCCCTCTCTTTCTCAGTAGCCCCTGTTCTGTTCATCTTCTACTACGAACGCGCCGCTGCGCTGCCGTTGCAAATCTGGCCACCTCCCGCACTGGGTGACAACGCTACAGAACCAGGTAACATAGAATCTTACAACTTTGTTAATAGTTGAATGTTTCTACATTCTTCCTTTTTGAAATCAGGGTCGAAGTGATTCTTAGTTAATAATCAAATGTATCTGCATTTTGGTTTGAAGACTTCGACACCTATTGTAATATTATCTTATTGAGTCAACTATACTCCCACTCGGCATCAACTGCACTAACTCATCCGAGCCTAAAATGCAGGCTTAAGTGGTTCCATTCTGTCCCCGAGTTTTCCTACCATGATCAATGACTAGGAATTCCAATCCCATTGTGAAAAAGCCTCTTCCTTCAATTCCCCTTGTTGAAGGACTATAGTGCACTTGTGCCACACTATTACAGAACTATTAACAGTTTTAACATTTTTTAACTTTTTTTTTTTTGTTTCTGGCAGTTGGAACAGTCAACAATTTCTCTCTTTTGTAGTTGACGGCATTTACTAAGGCACTATTTTTAGATCTCAAGAAAGAACATTTATTGAGGCACAAAGCATAAGATAAAAAACACAGTGTAACATGTACAAATCTGGGTTGCTTATGTATGCTTCTATGTATATAACTATATTATATTTGTATTTCATTATGATGATTTATAATCTGATGGATCTCTTTTTTCACTTCCTATCTATCCATGTGCCTATCTTACATCTTTAATATGTATGATGCTACAGAAAGAAGCAGTTTCATATATGGCCTCATCAGGACCTCTTCTCATTGGTGTAAAGAGAGCCTCTGTCAAGTTATAGTATCTGAGTTTGTTTTCATAATATTTGTTTAATGGCAAGAGGAAGGCCCAGGAAAAATGCCAAAAGAAAATCTGAGACCCTTGATAACAACTTAGGCGGTAACCGCAAGGAGCCACAAGTCAAAAAGCAATATGATACATCAAATGACCATGAAGGTGAAAGTTCCATTTTTCACTTGTAACTTGCATTTATTTTCTCTCTCCTCCCCCTTTTCTTCTTCTCTTTGATCATTAAATAATATATGATCAGCATCTTTGCTGGTTAAATTGTTAAATTGTTAAAGTTGAGGGCCTTGTAAGATATCTGATTTAGATATATTCTATAAAATGCCTTTTTTTTTCCTCATAAATTAAATCATAAAGTATTTCAACTTTCAAAACCTGGCCCATGGAAAATTATTTTCAGAAAATGATGCGAGCTTTGCTAGGTGGCCTTTGGCATTAAAAGTTTCTTTGCTTGTTTCAAGTATATACTCCGAACTTGTAATTTCTAGTCGATAAAACTTTCCTGAACTAGATATCTAGTTTTCATTGTGGCATATGTTTGTCATGGGATGCTTTACGAACACTGCTGAGATGCTTTACGAACTGAAGTAGGCCAGGAACATGGCTTTGGTACCATGTTTTGAATGCTGCTACAGTAACTCGAATCAGGAAGAGAAGGAAGAAGAAGAAGAAGAAGAGAAGAAGAAGAAGGAAAAGAAGGGTCTGTCGAAATCTGATGGACTACCCATTCAGTTGACCCCCTTAATTGTTATTAGATTCTAATGACATTAACAAAGACTAAACTGCCCTTACTTAAGTGTGGGGCAGAGTGTCTTAATAAAACTGCCACATAAGCAAACCACTTAACAAACATAAGATGACTAAACTACCCCTATTCGGCTCACTTTAACAGGCGTATTGGCCTGTATCGGTACTTTTTTTTAAGTTTTATTTTCAAAACCGATTCAGAGGGGTCGGTTTAAGGCCCGACTACCCTCTGAACCATGGTCTGACCCAATACAACCCTTGGAGGGGCGTATCGGGAAGCCACCAACATGATATGTATTGGCCGATATGGGCCGATACGTGTTGATACTTTGAACGTTGGGCTGATATGGGCCAGTATGGGTTTCTACTCTTCTCCTCGGGATCTGCATGTTAGCACAAGTTCAGCTACAACCCTGCTTCTAAAAGCCTTTCATGCCTTACACGTTTTGGTTGAAACATTAATGTTTTGGTTTGTCTTCGTAGATCTTTTGTATGTTAGACTATTGCCTTCAGTACCTTGGTAATGTGTCATTGCAACGCAAGAACTGCCACGATGTTGTGCTGAACTGCATGGACTTTTGTGTTGAGATAATTGTTCAGTACATTTCATCGTGAGTGTGTCTATTTGTTGTGATTTAAGACTTTGATTGGGACTGCATTGTAGAGATTTTCAGGCTATGCCAGTTGTAACTAGGTGTTCTTCGACACAATTCCTTTGTTATTTAAGTGTGGAAACTTGGGTTTCCGATTACAATGTGAGTGCACTGTGGTCACTTACTTGAGTGTCTTCATTGCAATCTCCATAGGGTTTAAATCCATGTACGTATACCAGGCAATTCAAGCATATCAAGGCTACTGAATGGACAACTACTACAACAACTCTCTAAGGAGAAGTGTACATCAAGCTGTGCTCAAATTTTGTCTATCTTTTAGGATCCTGATGTAATCAATTGCATATGATGCACTCTTTAGAGTCTTAATGAGACTAAGCTCAGTGTAGGCAACTTTAGAGACCAATGGCTAGAATAGGTTTGGTTCCTAGGTTTTCTTGGACTTAAACAAGTGATTATAATTGGAAAAATGCATTTTGAAAGCCAATGGAAGAGATCTCAAACTTTTGGATAAGAATTTTTAAGGTTTCTAAGTGTTGGGGCTTAGTTTTTAAAAGTGCAAGGCACAAAAAAGTGTAAGGGCCATTTTGCACCCGAGGTGCAAGGTGCAAAAATGCTAAAAAATTCAAAAAATACCAACACATTCAAAAAATTGCCAAAAAACAAAAAAAAAACATTAAAAATATAATCACAATATTAATTAAAAATATAAACTTAAATTTTAAAATAAATGTTTTAAAAAGACTATTATCTCAAATAAAAATACATAAGCATAACATGTAATACATATTTAAAATGAAAATTAAAAAAATAAAACCAAGCATAACATATAAAACATATTCCGTCATGTAAATTTTTAATCTCTTTATTTTTTCCCAATTGCATTACTTCAAAAAGCTAACATGATGTTAAACATTTTTTTTTGGATAAATAATGTGATGTTAAACATTACACATTCCTGATTCTATGAGTCACCTTTGTACCAAGCCCCTCAAGGCAAGCCCAAACAAGTTCATTTTAGGGTCTTAGATTCTTAATCCCTATAAAAAAGGTTTTATAACCTTAAGTGTAATAGTGTATTTTACAAATATTTTTTATTAGGATGAATGAATGAGCAACATTAGCAAATATGGGTTTTTTGGAGCTTCAGTGAGCGAAGCAAGTGAATTTTCGAAAGGTGTGCGCTTGGGTTAACACGCAAGGTGTACTAGGCGCATGCCTTTTAAAAGTGTTGTGCCTGAGACCTAAGCGATTCGTATACCCTAAAATGTGCCTTGCTTGTGCTCCTCGGCGCGTCTTAGGTGCGCCTTTTAAATCACTAGTTTGATTGTCTATTAGGCAAGATTGCTCAGGCTCTATAGAGTAGTCCACTACTCGGAAATGCATAGTTGACTAATTATGACAGCCGAGGCATGTTTAGCCTAACTGTGAGACATAGTCGGCTAACCCAAAACGCATGGTTGACTAATTATGAAAGCCGAAGTGTAAAATGCTAGGATTGTGAGATATAGTCGACTACTCCAAAAGGCATAGCTGATTAACTGTGACAGTTGAGGCATGAATATGCCCTTTTTGAGAAGACTAGTCAACTACCCAAAAAAGCATAGTTGACTAATCCAGATAGACTGAGTTCAAAATGATATTGGTTGACTGGTATGGAGGAATTAATCGACTATGAGAGAATAAAGGTTCCTCCCTTCGTCAAGTAGCCGGCTAGCAACTCTGATAGTCGATTACTTCAAAGAAATTTGACCATTTGAAGGCTCAAATGGCTATTGCCATCTATGGAAAGCCTCCTAACATATTGGAGGAAATTTGAATCATTTCTAAGAAAGGGAAAATCCCTCTAACAACTAAAAAACGGTTGCTTGCTCTCAGATCCTCTACAAATAGAGGAGTTTTGCTTGATTCAAAAACAAGAAGCAAGAGATTGAAATAAAGCTAGAGAAAAACAACTTGTGTTTTCCTTGTACATTGTGTATAGTTGTTTGTCAGAGAGAGCAATATGGCTAGAGTCGTTTGAAGAGATTCTTGAGCTTCAATAGTGTTAAAGGTGAGAAAAGCTGAAAAGACCTTGATCTTGTACAATCTCACCCATCTATTGCAAATCTCTTCACTGAGCTAAGTATTTTTAGCTCTCTTGTTGTCAACTTGCCACTGTGCTAGAAAAGAAATATCTGTAAGCAGGTAGGTTTTCAAAGTTTTTGAACACCATTAAGATCCTGTTGGCACTTTTATTGAGCCCAACTACAACTTTTTGTAGGCATCTAGAAGTCCTATTGGTTTAGGTCTTGTTGGCACCCACGAAGTCCAATTGGTTCAAGTCTTGCAAGCACCCATGAAGTCTTGCTGGTTGTAAAGGCTTTGTTGGCATCCAGGAAGTCCAACTGGTTAGTGGAAATCCTCAGTCGTGGTCTGAGGTAGAGGACATAGGCAGAGTTGGCCGAACTTCTATAAAAATCTTGTGTGCCTTGTGTGTGTTTCTTTTCTTCACGTTTTGCTGTTTGTTTGTTTGTTAGTTTACTTTTACTAACATCCTCAAATAACTGCAATGTTTTGAATCCTTGTGATCTTCCAGACATTGCTTTTATTTTGTTTCATTTTTTTAGATCTTCAAGTCACAAGATCTCTTAGTGCAGCTACTGAGCTACTAACATCACTGATCCTACTAACTTAACTTTACATTAATTGCTTTACATGTATTTCTTTACAGTTGTTTACTTTCATAGCACATTTATTATTAAATTGTATATTTACTTTCAGCTGTTAATTTGTCCTTGAGATTCTGGTAGCAGCTAACAGCTGCTTGAATCTCAAGTTGATTCAACTTGGATAGTTGGTTCTTATCTCAGTTATCATCTTGTAGCTGGTCCTTCTCTAGCTACCATTAGTGGCTGGTCCTCTCTTATTTAAACATATTGGTAATGAGTATAGTTACAATTATACCCCTCATTAGTAGTAATTAATAAGTGACAAATAAGACATTAATACCCCAACTAATTGTTGTTCAGTCAATAGTTATGTATGACTTGGCCAGATATTCCTATGCGGTGAGTGTTATTTATCAGTATTTACACTCACCTAGGGACACCAATCTAGTTGCATTTGAGAAGATTCTGGCATACTTGAAGGAGATGCTGGGGTATTTTATTCTTGGATTATGGGCATATTGAAGATACAATGTTTTATACACGTAGATTGGGATGGATCTATAGATTATAGGAGGTTTACTTAAGCTATTGTACTCTTGTGGTTGGGAATCTTATTTCTTGGGGGAAATAAGATGGGAAACCCAGAGAGAGACAGGAGGAGGAATTGGAGAAAATATGGGAAATGATTTGCGCTTTGTTGGAGGAGTATAAGGAGAAGGAGGAGGAATTAGATCAAAGGGAGAGAGCAGATAATTCTCAAGAGAAGGAATACTACAAAAGCTCCAACTTGGAGGGAGAGGTGGCTGAAGCTAATGCATTATCTAGGAAGAATGAGGGGAATAATAAAAGGAAAAAAAAAAAAGATCAGAAGTGGAAAGGTTAATCTTAGATATTGAGGGTGATATTGAATTCAGTGGGAGAGGGAGAGAAGAAGGATTCTGTTGTAAGGTGGAGTCTCTTGGGAAGGGTGTCTGAAAGGAGTGCTCAATGAAGATCATCAGCTGGAATGTGAGAGGATTGGGAAGTGAAAGAAAGAGAAGGGCAATTAAAGACTTACTAAGAAGAGAGAAACCGGATATAGTGTTGATACAAAAAACCAAATTAGCAGAATTGGATAGAAGGTGGGTCAGAAGTGTGTGGA